GGCTTTGAAGAAGCATATTTTTCTTTTTTTAAATTTATTTATAGACCCATTTCCCAGGTAGGACTCTCCCATAGCCTCCCTCCCCCCACTAGAGCCCTTATACTTTGATATCCCTGCTACTGTCTGCTGTGTTGTCAGCACCCCCAGCTATTCCACACTAGCTGCCCTTCTGGTGAATCTAGTCAGCCTATCTAGAGGTCTTTGTTTTAGGAGGGTCAGATGTTCCTCATCTAGCGGTAATCAGTTGTCAGTATTCCTTTGGATAAGACTGTGGACTGCTGTTCATTTTCTCAGTTCTATGCTGGGTTACTATATGGGAACCCCTTTGGCCACCCTGGCCAACAACTCAAAAGAAGGTATCACCTGTCTGGCATTGTTGCTTGTTATGTAGCCTTTAGCTATACATATGGACTCTTAAAAAATTATATTGGCCCCTTTAATCTTTGGTTATACTTTCCTTTTGGGTGTTTAAGGCCATACAGTTGGTCCAGATAAACCGATTTATTTTTACTCTTAAGGTCATTTGAGGATCTGTTCCTCAGGGGTCACATGGGCTTGGGAAGAGCCCTTGGCTCCTTTCTTTTACCAGTTCTGCCTTTGTGAAGATGTCAAAGATCCTGCTCAACCATGGTTGGCTTCGCTTGGAAGCATGGAGGAAATGATTCCTCTGTGTTGATCTTCCTCTATAGACTGGATATTGGTTCAAGTCCATCTGGTGGGGTCTCCTCGGCCTCCCTGATCAAGAGGACAGGTGACCCATCATGATTATAGGACATTTTGAGAGATGCTCATAGTTTCTTGGATGTAGTCGACCTAGGAGGGCAAGGAGCAAAAAGTGTCCTTTATGTACCTCTGACGGGAGATCCACCATCATTATAGGACATTTTGAGAGATGCTCATAGTCCCCTGGAACTAGTCGACCTATGAGGGCAAGGAGCAAAAAGTGTTCTTTATGTACCTCTGACCAAATTATTATAGACCTCAAAGTATGTCTGTTAAACACCCAAGAAGTTTAGCTCCACCAGTCTGGTGTGTTTAATTACTGTGTGTCATGTAGATAAATCTTGGGCAAAAACCAGTTGTTCTCAGATAAAGCTTGCCTAGACATATATTTCTTGATCTGCTATGTATAATTTGTCAGTAGGTGTAGGAGTAATATGGTTCCCTCTGGTTTTTGAAACTAGCTAGGCATTGTTTACCTCTCGCATTGTCTCACCCTTCCATCATGGTTTTCCCACTTAAGGTTCCCCCATTTCCCCCCTTTCTCCCTTACTAATACCCTTCTCTGATGTTCCTACCTCTCTTGAGTTCCTTCTTTCCCTTTATCCCCTAGGTTCCTTGTATACCCTTCCCTCCCCCCTCCCTTCAACTAACCCAATTTTTATCCTCCCCCCTCCCTTAAACTAACCCAATTTTTATCCATA